TCAGAGACAAGGTGTTAACCTAGTATTGGCGCAATGATTACTTCAGTGCTAAGGCTTTGTGCGGCGGGGTCAAGCATCATTTGGACCACCGCAACGAAGCTGACACGCTGTGATCTAACTAAAGTACTATTCCCATCTTTGGCAGTAAATGGCTCTCAAGTATGTCCATGACCCGCCGTCAAAATATAGAGTTTTCACGCCCCTGCACTTGAACCAGTGTGTTGGTGGGTCCGCATTGTCGCCTAGCCTACAATGACCCACGCTGTTATTCTGCAACATAAATTAGGAAGAGGGGTTAAGTACCACTGTGGCAGTGAGCGAGGAGGCGGACGCCACTGAGCAATTATGTTGCCATGTTACGACAGGGGACGTCTATAATGAACACCACACGCTTGTCGGGAATCGAACCCGGACTCATTAGCAGATAAAAGACACCATCGGTTGTCCTGGCGCTTCTTCCTCAAAAGATACAGGTTTGAGCTATTACCTCCCTTGGGTGCAAGTAGAAGTTCGCGCGGAGTACTGAAAGGGCCATCTGCTACATCTGTGTCGGTCGAGGAGCGTCGTGGTCTGTGCCGACCTCATGATGTCCAACAAGATGACCATCTAAATAGCCAATACCGACTCGTCGATGCAATCAGCATCGACCTAAACCCAGTTGTACCGAAGCGGATGTAGAAGGATTTCCCTCAGGGTCGGGTCCAATGGCTGGAGACTATCGTCCTGGATTGCTCTATGTTTTAAAGTATCTCGAGGACAGAGGGCTGATTTAATTATATTTCCCTATTCCACAACCAGTTCTGATCTATATACATGTCCAATATTTCGGTCTGGGCACGAGTACGTGTAACAGTATCTCGATATCCTGCATCTTCCGTCAGATTACCGTGCAGATAAACCCGTGTGGATTTCGGGTTAAAACAGGGTCCTGTCTATACAAGTCCCAACACAACTATGTAATGTAATTTCTATAATAATAAACGAACCACGGTGTCCTCGGCACTCAAAATCCATTACGCAGAATTAGATGACAAAGAAGCCGTTTTAAATTCAATTATAAATCCCTAAAAGAATGTGCAAATCACATTGAAAACAGTATATATTACATGTTCTCTCTTAGGAATCCAATTCTGCTTAGATTCGTGTGCAGCCAAAGCATGCTCAGCCATTATATTACGTATGTATTTATGTATGTTTGTGTGTGTGTGTGTGTGCGTGCGTGCGCTGTATGTATTATGCGTGTATGTATGTATATGTGTGCACGTGGGTGCCTGTGTGAGTCTGTGTATGTATTATGTACGTATATATAAGAAAATACCTACGTACATGCATGGACACACTTCCGTTGTTCTTTGTGCATATGTACGTACGTGTTTGTATATCCATGTCTGTGAGCATGCGTGCGCGTGCGCGTGCGTGCATGACTATGTGTGTGACAATTATGCTTGCACTCTGCTCCTTGGGGGTGTCTTGTAAAATGTAGTAGATTCTAATCTAACAGGCGACTAAATCGATTGGCGGTAAGTGTGTTTCATCGTAAGACGTCGGCCGTTGCTCACTTTATCAATCATTGGTCCACGCCGCCGCCATTTATCTTGTACAGCCTGAATATGGCGTTTATCACCCTGTAAACAAAACCTTACAGATCCAGGGTAGAAACACAGCACGGTATGCCCTTAGACAAACCTAACAACATATCGAGTAATATCTTGTCTAAACCACGTCAATCACAGATCCCTTTACCCGGAACAAAAGCTGACGTGCAAAATATTGTATGACTTCTAATCAGAAATGATATATGAAGATAGTGTATTGACACCCGGTACTTGAGGGCGCCATTTTTGCAAATTACACTTACCTTTCATAACCAGATTGGAGAGAGTTCGTACTGAAGTAAATTTGACACGTGATAGGCAGTTTCAAATATACATACAATGAATGCTGTTGAAACATGATAGTTTCTTCAGATCAAATTATGTTTGCAGCAATAGCTGATATACATATTATTGGTGACGGGTACCTGTGATATAACATTGCTCTTTAATAAGTATACGCTCTCATTAGGGGCCATATAAAAAGCGTATGAAATTCATTATCCGTAGAACGACAGACAGATTAAATGTGGCTATTTACGTTGATTGATGTTTACACAAAATGAATAAGAGTCATTCATAATTATCTAAGGTCATTCGAGCCATTCAGATACAGCGGAGGTCTGAAGAATTTCAAGGTTGCCTCGTCGTTTCCTCCAATTCGTATAATTAACCGAAATCCGCCCCGGCGGAAGTTCAGGTTGCGGCAATTCAGAGATAGTACTCGCCCCACAACTAATGTTACTAACTTCAGATACGCGCAACTTCGACCAGAGGAATCGATTGCGGTGATAGAACTGGTCGCCATGTATAGTGTTCATGCGACCGATCTTCTTGTGGGTAAACGTGGAATAAAGAAAAACATTAGGGGAGTTTAATCAATACTTGATGAATATGCAGTATATAGTGTAAATAGCACAAAATACCGATTGCGTGCCCCGGAAATCGATTATGTAAACTGACCCAATAGTTGAGGACAACACAAATTTCGAATGGAAATGCATGTCTTTAAGGGAGTGTCGTTCTACGTAAAGGTTAACTTCGTAACTTTATTTGGACAATGTGTGTGGTTTCTTATGCAAACATTAACCTATCTCCATCAAGTGTCACTATCGAAAGGAACTTTGGGAATTTTACAACAAATGTAAATTAGAACTCTGTTCCAATCGGGAGAGGGTGTGTAGGGTCGCGATAGTCATGCAGACATACTGTCACAGACAACCAGGATACAGGGTACATAATAAATAAACAACGTCACATATATAGTCGCTGAAATCTATTACCACACTATAAGTATCTCAATTGTCTGATTTTCTTCTAAAGCTGATTTTGTGTGGAATGTAGCTAGCTGCTTTGGACTCTATTTATCATTGATAGTGTTTAAATGTTAAATATAATTTTATATTTAATTTTTTTATACGAAAACCACGTGGGTTTGTTTGTTTCGGAAGCAAAATTTTAAGGCGGCTAAAGGATAGCACGTTATATAACGGACATGACGTAGCGTTGACGTCATCGGCGCGAGGTGGTCACTTCCATTGCGGATCTCAACCAGGGTGCACGGGCCCCGACAAAAGTTATTCCATATCGAAATTGGGAAATTGGGAACACAAAAGAGTTAGTAGATAATTCTATTACTAATTAACATAGGTGCGTATCAAATCTTCAAATTTATGTTTCTATAGATAATTTAAAAGTTAAATGAAGTTATATTGAAGAGTATGTATGTGTGTGTGTGTGTGTGTGTGTGTGTGTGTGTGTGTGTGTGTGTGTGTGTGTGTGTGTGTGTGTGTGTGTGTGTGTGTGTGTGTGTGTGTGTGTGTGTGTGTGTAACACTATCCCGTTATACCATTTGTCAGTTTCATATGTTTACATCTACCACTAGTCTGTCGTACAGACCCTGAAGCAAATATATCCATGAAAGCCCACGCAAGTCTAGAAAATGTGGCAAGTCTAGATTTCCTCAGTCTCAGGGTTCCTTTTCATTACATATATTTTTTTTTACTATGAACTTTTTTCAGTAAAATATGTTCATTTCAGAGACATAGCTGTTAGTCTAATCTACCACATACCAGTGTGCGGAATAGCCACTGGCCCGCTAGCCCGTGGCTAGTAAAAATCCAGTCGGGCCTGTAAATCTCCACAGTCATTTTGTAAATATATCACTCTCTCCGACTTGTTAAGTTATAATACACTTTTAAATCATGCAAGATTGTGACCTGATAAAAATGTTCATCATATTAGCAGCTTAATGAAGAAACACGTGTCTACATTCACATTTCGGGCTATTGATTATTTTGGGGCAAGTACCTCTCAGGCATAGATAGCCCGACTGACCAGCACTATTTCGCACACTGCCATATGCCTCTTTAAACCGTTTGGCAGTGTAAAACATTTATTACATTATTTGCACTTGTGTTCTGTCAAAAAAATATCAGATGCGTATTAGCCTAGTATTCCACTGATATCAACTTGCACTGCTACTCCGATGAACTTGATTCACGTCATTTTGCACGTGGGTGAGTGCTGATTCAACATTTAATTTTCAGTTTAAGTTTAAATTTAAATTTAAGGGGAGTTTAATATTTAACTAAACATATGGTAATAATGTTGGACATAATGAGATGTATGTCAACAAGTCATCATATTGCACAATGTTCTGTTTAAGTGGAGAAATGATTTAGAGTTACAGTTTAACCCTCGACGACCCTGAATGGAAATGATCTTCAGCAACTCACGCTTGTCGTAAGGGGCGACTAGTCGTATTTGGGTGGTCGGGCTCGCTGACTTGGTTGATGCATGTCATGTTATCCCAAATACGTAGCTCGATGCTCATGATGCATGCTTGATGTCAATCACTGGAAAGTCTCGTCTAGATTCGAACGCAGAAGGCCTGGGTACGATTTCCCACATGGGTACAATGTGTGAAGTCCATTTCTGGTGTCCCCCGCCGTGACATTGCTGGTATATTGCTAAAAGCGGCGTAAAACTAAACTCACTCACTCACCCACTTATATACGCCACTATGACCTGGAACGGTCACTTGCAGATCCAGAGGGGGTGTGCAGAGGGTGTGAATCCCCGCTGTTCACACACCTTACGTGTTAATGAGTATCGTGAACACCTCTGGATTTTTTTTTCAATCCCGCATCTGAACCGTCATTCCTTGAATTCCGTAAACCGAAGTATGACTGATGCCTAATGGTCTTCCACTGAGTCTTTTTGACTTATCACCATTGTCCAATACTGATAAATATCCCGAAGTGGTGCATTCACCCTACGCCGTGAACACCTAGTGATAGGCGGGTCTGTACAGACGCAGATAATCAATAGCCACTAGAAAGCCGTTCTCTGCCCATGACGCGAACATAAATAGTCAATAGGGAAGCACTCTTTGAAGAGCGCATGCGTAAAGCCAGGAAGCAGATGGACTTACTGTTTAGTAAACATTCAAGCGGGCTTTGTCAAGTTGTAAATTAACTTACCCTTGCGGTTCTGGTTGGATATTAAGGCTGAAGATACAGTTTGGTGTTTTTACATTCTCAGGAAGTGTCCGTTCACGCTGGACAAGCATACGATTGACCGTGTTTCTGTAAATTTACTCCAGACCGGCTGTCAAATCGGAGTTGGGTGTCTGACAACGTGCGCTTCATGATGTGATGTTTTTGGAGAGTGGGGATCTTTGACACTTCTTTCTCTCCAGATGAATGAATGACGTGTAGATAGGGTTAGCTGTGATGTTACCCCGGCTTGTGAGAGTGATGCAGACGAGACATGTAGCAGGAGTGTTGCTAGCTGTCTCTTTGACAGCGATCTTTGGTTGTCTTCACTTGCTGAGTGAAGTGGCTCGCCTCGATGATGCAAGGGTCAGATTAGGTGAGTGAACGTTTTGTGTTTTAAGAATAGAACACATTAATGCCAAGCACACACTTGCATATTGTATTTCCACATTGCTTATAACTTTGACAGTTTTACTTGATGACACCTCCAGTTCTGCTGTCTGGAGGGGGGCTCTCGATATTTATAGACGACCTTTGTGAAGGTTCATTATCGTCAGCTCAATGGTAATGCAACCGTAACATAACGTATCAAAAGATACCATTTTTAACACAGTCACAACATACAATATATCCATGATTGGCTCAACATCACTCTATATTCAGTGTTGTAAAACTTCTTTGATTATATTCAAGTTTATAGTGTCTATTATTCAATCAATTACAGTACATCAAATAAGCGGTGGTTGTGTCGTGATAAGGTCATCAGCAGACGAAAAAAAACCCAACAATTTGCAAGACAAATACTATTGAATTGAGATGTAAACCTCACATCAACTAGATCATCGTCAATAAACAAACCCCACAATTACTACAGTTATTGGCCTATTGTTATCCTAACTGTATTACCTAACCATCCATTACCCTTAATTAATCCAATCAGCTTAATCCAATTAGGAGTCCACCCACGTTAATGAGCAGAGTCATGGTGAGATAACAAGCTGTAGGAAGAGTCAGGTGTACCAGCCTGGCCTTGTGAGATCCATCAGCTTCACTGAATCACGCACAACAGATCCTGTACTATAGTGAACCATGCAGACGGATATGTAGCCTAGGAAATCCTTTTACAATACACAATGTTTTGTTCTCCTCTACTTCCTTAGTTGTTTTTTAATACACATTTCCCTCCTCTGAAATATATCCTTTACTGTTGAATAGACTTTCAGTTTGATAATTAGGTTGGTTTTGCGGTGATAAGAAACATATATTCCACACACTTGATGCAGGTATATGTTGCAGGTTTCCTGGTACATGTATATGTTTACTTGCATTCAATGATGGTAGGTACAGTCTGAAAAATTCAGATGAATCTATGTTTCTCAGGATATAGTGTTATGCTAACTAAAAGAAGACAAATTATAAAAAAGTAACACATTGTTTTGCTGACTATTGAAAGTGATACTGATATAAAACTATTTGCCAAATGAGGAGCTGAGGAACTGCCTTGACTAGAATAATCACATCTCTAAAGTTTACATGTTAGATGCACAGGTTTGTTTGATGGATTGAGCAATGTATTTTTAAAATCTTGATGTAAAAGGTTATTTATATCCCTTTGAGGGAAACACACCTTGATAAGTTTAATCCAAACCTGTCTGAAGATAGAATTAGTGAGTAAATTATTTATCTTTTGAGCTTAGAAGACAACCAAGTTAATCTCAGTTCTCTCCTTACACTTAGTTGCCTGGCTGCCATGTCACACAAGATCTGTAGATATTTGTGGTAAACACTAGTTATTCAGTGTAGATGGTATTTTATTAACCTCAACCCAGTTCAAGTGATCAGTGCAGTTTGGGAATTTGACTGGTATTATTTCAATTTGTGATGTGTCTGAAGCCTTGAGGAAAGGAGATGAGTTATGATATCACGGATATATCTTACATAGTCGGAAGTCCATACTTGAACCCAAATCTGCAGCCAATGTCAATAGAACCTCTCTAATTTGAATGAATTTTCTCCCAATTCATTTGGCAATAGTTAAGTTTCTCTATCTTTTGATTTGTGTAGAAGTGACCAATGTTTCACTCAGGTACACACGTGTATAGGAGTTTTAATGCTTACTTTTATAATATTCAATTGATGGCAGTGTTAAATTACCACAAAATTTCAAGAATATATGAATTACAATTCAAATTTTGAGTAAAATTACAATTTTCTCCCTGTTTGCCTTCAAAAGGTTTAATTAAGAATCCTTGATCAATACTTGTTACTGGTATGTTTTTGTTTTTATTGACAACACTGAATAAACTTCTAAAACATATATTACTATTGTAATACTATTGTTATACAGTGGCCATAATGTTGAACTATGTAATAATATTTATGGCATTCAGAAGCAGTAGTTTGTAATGGGTAATAACAATGTTTAATATTCTTCAACATTTAGTGATATTAGATAGTGTTTTGCCTGAAATATTAATCATAACTTACAGTAAAGAAATCAGGCCTGTTCATGAAAAATAAGCTTGATTACTTCACCGGGAAAGTAGATAACTGTCGGACGTGTCCGTGATGAATGATGCCCCTTTGTGATGGGTGAAACAGCAGTGTGTTTGGCTTCCATAAAGCATGTCTATATCACAAAGTGTTGGAATAAGCTCCATTTGCAAAGCCTGGAAGTAAATGATGGCTGCCAGTGGGTGCATTTTTTACAGATATAACATAAAAAAACCTTCTTAGAATGCTGTGTAAAATTTCTGTTTGGCATGGATTTGATAAAAATGTCAATAAAACATTTTGGCTCGGCTCTTAAAACCATAACTTTTTTTATTAACTTCTAACTGAGCAAATTACTGTAAAAGGTGCATGCTTACTAAAAACTGATGTATGTCATATGAAGATTTTGTGCTTCGACTTGCAAAGTAATTTCTTTAAATTTAATACATGAAAAAAACATAGAATAAGACAGTGATTATAAGCCAGTAGAGAGAATGTATTCAACTTAAATAAAAACAAGTATTTGAGTATTTTATTTGGTATCAGTATGTGTCTGTTACAAAGGAAGCACCTGTCTCACGTTAATGATAATGGTCCCTGAGCCTGTTGGTCATCTGCATCATTAGGAGTTGATGGCCCCTAAGAGACAAGCCTCATTGATGTTAACATTACTGGACAAAGGTGACCCTGTATGTGTATTATTCTCTAGGCGATACATGAAAGTCGTGTGTCATAGTTATCATATTGACATATCTGACTGCACTTATCATTATCTATCATCTGTTGCCATCTGCATGATAATAGAAGGACACTGTCATTCCTGTACACCGACTGTGTTGCTGTGTGTCAATAACTTCCATAGTATCATATACGCGGGTTAGTTGACCAAGTAGTCTGTCATACAGAACCTGAAACAAATATACCCAATGTAGCTCATGCAAATCTAAAACCACAGTTTCAAGCCCTGGAAATGAAGAAATCTCTGGGCTCCCTTTTTTATTTTAATTTAAAAACTATTTTTCTGTAAAATATGTTCATTTCAGAGTTAACTGCTAGTCTACCGACCAAGTGGTGTGTGTTGTTCGAAATGAAATAAGAATTGCAAGTTTGTGTAGCTCAATGAAGATATTTTTATTTGCCATGACTGATTTTGGTTGTATCAATTAGTGTTGGAGTGAGGTACTGGATGGTTACTATTTGTTCACTACAATGAATATGTATTATTTCTGAAACATTTTGTCCATTATATTCACATTATGCTTGCTTAGAGACTATGTTCTATGCATATTTGGTTGGTTATTATTTGAAAAGTTAATTTTGTATACATTTTTAACTTGTATCTGTTTAATTGTGCAATTTATCAAAGCAAGAATGTGATAAAATAAAAGTTAAGTAGTTTCTACAGAATGTCAGTGTGTAACGCTTGTGGATGCTTACCTCTACATTCTTGTGAAGATATTTGGCTTTTTTATTCGCAAGGTATCAACACAAAGAAAACAGGTTGTATTCACTAAATTTCAGTAAATGTAGTTTAGACTGGTTGGACATATTTTGAATCTGCTATGCATTGCAGATTTGTAGAAAAGGAAACTGGACATTGAGCATGTCATTGATAAAGAAGGGTTGATTGTAAGAGTTTATAATTCAGTAATGATAAAAAACAAGCAAACTGTTTTATAACTAGTGCTCTTCCAAATGTTATTATCACCTCTTCAATAGAGCGACCTGTGAAGATCTGGTTTAGAATTGATCTTCAGTGACCCATGCTTGTCGTAAGAGGCGACTAACGGGATCGGGTGGTCAGGCTCGCTGACTTGGTTGACACATGTCATCGGTTCCCAATTGCGCAGATCGATGCTCATGCTGTTGATCACCGGATTGTCTTGTCCAGACTCAATTATTTACAGACCGCCGCCATATAGCTGGAATATTGCTGAGTGCAGCGTAAAACTTAACTCACTCACTCTTCAACAGAACCTATGTCATGGCAGCTGTTTTACATGTAAATGTAACAGTCAATGTTGTTCAGATATTAATTTTCAATGAATCATTGTTAGTATTGTGTGCACCAGGTACTTGATCAAGATGGAGTTCAGTTGCGTAGCCTAGTGGTTAAAGCGTTCGCTCGTCACGCTGGAGACCCGGGTTCAATTCCCCACATGGGTACAATGTGTGAAGCCCATTTCTGGTGTCCCCAACCTTAATATTGCTGGAATATTGCTAAAAGCGGCGTAAAACCATACTCGCTCACTCATCAGGATGGAATTAAGCTGTCACTGCTTTAACAGAAAACGAAACAAAAAAAACAGTTGACAGATGGGGCCTATGTTGTGTGGAGTCACACATACTTATATATCTGGGCAATCACTGGATATGGTAGTGTCATTTTTCACTCAGTAAGGTATTCCCCTAATGCACTCCTTGATAAATATTTGACTACTCAGTAAGTGACAGTTAGTATGCCGACCCTTCAGCCAGGTGGGGAGGGACGTGGAATGTGGGCACCAAGGTATTATGATCCTGTGTGTCGATGGAAGATTCATTACTACTGATAAGATAAACGACACTGGAGGTAGAAGGGTTAATCTTTAATGCTATCAACCTTCCTACTTCTTACCTACCCGACAAATACAACCATCCACTTCTCCCGACCCAGTACAGACTCACAAGTCAAGTGTTGTTAGCTATAATAATGATGGGACAGGTTTTAGAAATGTAGGGTTAGGGGTAGTCTGTCATACAGACCCTGAAGCAAATATATCCAAGAAATCCCACGCAAGTCTAGAAAATGTGGCAAGTCTAGATTTCCACAGAAAATGAAGGAAGTCTCAGGGCTCCTTTTCATGATATTTTATTTTTTTTACTATGAGTTTTTTTCTGTAA